CCCCAAAACCCCAAAACCCCAAAACCCCTTTCAGACCAAAATTTGTTGAACAATGATAAATTGTTAATCAAGTTACTTCCATTTCATCTTAAGTACCCCATGCTTCCTTGCAAGGGGACTCATTTTTAGTGACGCTGGCATCATAGTATGACCAACCTGGGCTGCTTGGTTGATATACTGGAGTCTTCACTTCTGTAGTATCTGTCTCCTCGAATTTCACTTGACTCTTCTCAAGTTGCACTTCACCCTTTTCAATGACTTCTTCTCTTTTCAGTAGAATCATTCTGTTATTGAAGAAGAGCTCTAGCTTTACTCTATCTTCCATGATGTCTGTCACTTTGGCTTCGAATCCTTTGTATTCTCCTCTGCAGATGTTGACTACCTTCCCAAGTAAAGGATCATTTCTTTTGTTTGTGAGAGGAATCATCATTCTTCTTGACGGGTCTTCAGCTCCTCTCATTGCAATACTCTTGTTGTTCTCAACAAAGTAGCCAAGAGTCTCTATGAATTCCTTGTTATACAGGAAAATAGAGTTGTGGTGAATGTTCTTAATAATTGCCTTCAAGTTCCTATTTGGTCCATCTATCACTCTAACTGGATCACCGATACTCATAAAGTTTCCATTGTGATCAAGAGTTGAGATGTTTTTCTTCTGGAAAATCTTGGTGCTAATTTCGTTGATATCAATGTGTCTGACTCTCCCAATCTGTGTAAGCACCTTTAAATTATCTTTTTCAGTTCCAAGGACAACTCCAGCAGTATTATTAGTTGTGATAATAAGATCAAATACATTGTAGCCATGATCAAAGTTTGAAGAAGTCATTTTAGCAATTTGAGCGGTGAGCTTGCAATTATTAAGAAAAGCAATGAACTCTCTCTGGCTTGATTCTGAGAATATGATTCATCTTTCCCCACTAACTTTAGTAATCATGCCTTTATCTCCCTCATACTGACCTTCTACAACAGTGACATGGTCTCCTTCGTTAAAATGCTTAGAAATCAGTCTGATATCGATATCTAAGTTATCTGGAATATCTTTAATGTCAGGCTTTATAGTGATCACTTTTGGATCTATTGCAACAACCTTCCCAGTCAAATTTTGGAGATCTCCTGAGATAACTTTTATTTTGTCTCCTTTTGTAAGAAGAATGCTCTTTGAAGCTAGGGTCTTCCATTTCTCCAACTCCTCTACAATATCTTCTTCACTGCTGTTGTCATCATCAAAATTAGTACTGGGCTTATGGAATTTTTCAAAGATAGCACGAGGAGGGATAATATTTTCAGTATCAAAATTCCTAACATTGAAATACTTGTACAAAAAGCCTTTCCTGTAGTAATTTCTGTTCCAGTAGTACATAGTCTTCTTAAAGATATTGCTGAACTTCTCAGCAACTTCAGTGACTTCCTCTTTATTAAAGAATTTCAAAGGAGGCCTCTCAGGATTGTTAAATCTTCTCTTATCCTTGAATACTCTTGCGTCAGGTACGGTTTCAGTCTTGATTCTTGGGATCAGTTTGAGATAGCACCCGTCCTTGTTATCATCTATCTCTACAATTTTTCCGTAATCACCAGAATAGACTCCAGTATTGAGTCTGACCCATTGCCCTTTCTTTCTAGTGATTTTGGCAGATTTATCAATCTCAAACACATTTGCTGTTTCTTCTTCCTTAATCCTCCTGCAGCTCCTCTGGAAGATAAGGTTCATTCCTCTGATGGCTTCTCTGACATGGCATTCTTTATATGCTTCAATATACAAATGACCCTTAATTTTGTCACTGATAGTTGCAGAAATAATGCTCAAAGGATTTCCTTCTTTCTTCAGCTGGAGATACTTATTCATGAGGCAAATGCATACCTCTCTCTCACTACCTTGCTTACATTTCACTAGCCAAAGGATAGGATCAGCAACAGTCGGGCACAAATTCCTTGCTTCATCTTCCTCTTCCTGCTCTTCAACCCCTTTCTCATACTTATTTTCCAAGCTCTTGGCAAAATCTTCTAGCTCATCATCATCCATCTCAGCATAAATATTCGTAGCCTTCTGCTCAAGTTTAGTACGATCATACCTTTCATAAATCTTCTTTCTTTCTTGTTCACTAATTTCACTCTCTTCTTCATCTTCTCCTTCGTCTTCATCTGCCATATCGTCAATGAACTTGCTGACGTCTTCGGTAAGTTTTCTGCGTTTGTTCTTGTAGGGAGAGTTACCTACTACTTCGGATTTTTGTTCGTAGTCGTCAGAGGGATCTGAGAGGGGTTGGTATACTTCTTCTTTAGTAGCTCTAGTGGAGATCATGTAAAAATATTAATTATTGGTTTCCAATTTTTAGAAATTAAAAAGGGGTTTTGGGGTTTTGGGGTTTTGGGGTTTTGGG